AGAGAGCTTAAGAATCAACTCACATTTCTCCAACTAATTTTTCACAAGAGTACCAAAGGAATTCAATAAAGAAAGAGTGATCTTTTCAATAAATGAGGCTGGACAATTGATGTATGGAACCTCAAGCCCTGTGGCTGCCACCTCCAAGAATCCTTAATGATTCTCATCTCCTGGTATCCATGTCCTTACATAGTCCTCTCCCACTAAACAGAGCTGACCTGCATAACCAACAGAAATTGTGGAAATGATGGAGTGTGAATCCTGAGTCTAAGTCACAAAAGACATTGTAGCATCATCCTTCTTTCTTAGAACAGATCATCCTTCTTTCTTAGAACACCCTGTCTGGCCAAACAAATCCAGCTACCACATCATAAAGACACTACAGGAGTCCTGTGGAAATGTCCATGAGGTGAGAAACTGAAGCCTCTAATCAACAACCAGCTCAACCCGCCAAGCACGTGAAGTGAGCTATCTTGGAAGTAAATCCTCTAGCCCAGACAAGCCTTCAGATGACTGTAGCCTGGATGACATCTTAACTGCAAATTCATGAGACCCTGAGCAAGAACCACTCAGCTAAGTCCTGAGTGGTTATACATATAATAACTCCCAGGCTCCTGACCTGCTGAAACTGTGAAATATTATTTATTGTTGTCTGAAGCCACTAAGTTTAGGACTAATTTGTTACACCACATTAGATAAGTAATGCAACCACATACAAAATTATTTTAATATAAAAGTCACCTCTAAATGTAAAAGTTAAAAGTATAAATCTTTCAGAGAAACCATAGGAAAATATCTTTGTGCTCTAGGAGTGGGTAAAGATTTCTTAGGACACAGAAAGCAATAAACACAAAAGAAAAACTTGATAAATTCAACTTCATTGAAATGAAAAACTTTAGCTCATCAAAAGATCACTTTAAATACCTTACAATTTTGTCAGTTATATCACAGTAATGCTGAAAAAAAATTAAGAAAATGGAGTAGGCAAGTCACTGACTGCAAGAAAATATTCACAAAACATATATCACAAAGGACTTGATTCCAGAATATATAAAAAACCACAAATCAAAAATAAAAAGACAAACAGCCCAATTATTTTTAAGTGGGCAAAAGACTTTGACACTTCACAAAGGAAGATATAAAAATGGCCAATAAGCACATGAAAAGATGCTCAATATCATCAGTCATTAGGGGAATGCAAATCAAAACCATAATGAGATACCACTATACAGGCACGAGAATAACTAAAGCTAAAAAGACTAACAACACCAAATGCTGGCAAGGATATAGAGCAATGAAGATTTTCATACCTTGCTGTTGTAACCACCTAACATCACTTCTGTGACTAGCAATTTCATTCCTAGGTATTTACCAAAAGAAATGAAAAGTTACATCCACAAACATACTTGTTCAAGACTGCCCATAGCTGGCCTGACAACAGCCTAAATGTGGAAACAAGTCTAAATCAATAAGGAAAATGGATAAACCAACTGTGGAATATGTATACAATGGACTACTACTCAATAATAAAAAGGAACAAACTACTGATACAATATGGATGAACTTTAAAGACATGCTAAGCAAAAAAAGCTAGACTCAACAGAGTATGTACTGTATAAATCCAACCATATGAAATTTTTCAATAGGCCTATCTATTCTAAGGTTAAAAAAGAAAGAATATTAGTTGTCAGTAAGGAAAAGGGGGCAACTGACCAGATAGGGATGCAACGCAACTTTCTGGTGCAAGACAGGGGTATGGTTAACATACGTGTATACTTTCTGTCCAAACTTTACAGCTTAGATTTGTGCACTTCAATTTATCTAAATTTTAAAGAAAAAGAAACTTATAATAAAATAAGTGGTGGGTGGGGAGTGGAACGAATTATAGCTAATAAAGGTAATTTTAAGGGCACCTGGGTGGCCCAGTTGGTTTAATGTCTGACTCTTGGTTTCAGCTCAGGTGGTGGTCGCGGGGTCTTGAGATCAAGCCTGGCATGGGGTTCTGCACTCAGCATGGACTCTGCTTAGGACTCACCCCCTCCCTCTGCCCCTTTCCCCTGCAGTGCTGTCTCTCTGTCTCTGTCTCTCTCTCTCTCTCAAAAATAAATAAATCTTCTTAAAAAATAAAGGTAATTTTGGAGCTGGTGATAGATATGTGGGAGTTTATTATATTATTCTGTTTATTTTGTATTTGTTCAAAATTTCCATAATAAAAAAGCTAAAAACAAAAAACCCAAAGACACACAAACCACAAATTCAATGTTCTAAATTATTTGGTTCATCAGGAATATAATTACTCTGTCAAACAGCCATAAAAGTTTCTAACCACTGACTCTCAGTTTCTAAATATAATCTGTCCCAGTCCAGTTATAAACTATCTATGCCTGGCACCAGGTATCAGCCCATACTCTCAATAGCACAGTCCTCTCTGCCTCATTCTTTTCTTCACTGAATAATAGTGAATAGTAATCATAGTAGTAGTACGAGGATTTACTTCTTCGAGGTTTTATGAGGATTAAATAATAAAATATATGTTGAGTTCTTTGACCAGTGGCTGGCATAGAAGTTCCATAGGCACTAGCTATTCTTCTTATTAATTAAACCTGCTACAGTTTTTTTTAAAATTCCTAGGATCTATTTAGTTGCCAGTAATTTTATGCCTTTTTTCTGAATTATCTATGTCCCTTAAACTTTGAGCTTATTACTCAAATAAATCTTTCTGCTTAAATTTTTAAGTCAAAAATATAAAAAAGAAAAGTCACATACTTTTACCGATGAGGAAACTGAGATTCAAAGATTAAATGCAGCAGACATTTCTCAGGGTGGTTGCCCTGGTTCCAACCATTCCTCAAAACAAAGTCAGTACTACCAGACTTTGGCAGATTCCCAATCATAGCTGAGTCAATCAGATTCCTTCTCCTAGTACCTACGGTATGCCCCTGGCAGCACTCTGAGTGGGTCCTCTAACCCTGCCTTTCCAGAAGCTAGGGAGTTAGGCTCTTCCAGTGATTCCATGCAATGGCTCCTCCAGCATCCTTCTGATAAACTCATTTTTTATCTCTAAGCTGGCTGGAGTTAGTTTCCATTCCTTAGATGACCAAGAGGGATAACAACCAAGTTCTAGAACACACATCTCTTCATGTTAGACACTCTCAACCAGCATCTATTGGAAGCCTACTGTTTGCAAGGCACTGTACCAGATCTGTGCTGTGAGGACCAGCAGGTTGTGACAGGAGAAGGAGGGGTGGGACTTTACAAAGAGAGAGCTGCAGAAAATACTCTGGGTAGGTATAAGGAACTGAAAGCACTATAGTTTTGCTCCAGAATAAGGCACATAAAGGCATAGAGTTAATCCTCAGTAAATATTTGTTGAATTAATATTAAATTAGATATAAGACTGGACAGGTTTTGGACAAATCACATACGGCTTTGAATGCCAAACTAAGAGATTCAGAATCTACTCCCCTCAAATGGAGGCTACTGAAGGTTTCTGAGAAGAGCCCTATAATACAATTTGTGCTTTCAAAAAACACTAACATCTCAGCCAGTCCTAATGAATGCTCAGCTTATAAAGGAGCTGAAGTTTCTGTGTTTTAAGTATAGTATTTATGTTTCCTACAGGGACATTTACCAGCACTTTGTACAGAAAGCAGAAGGTTTTATTTAAATGTCAAAATACTTCTGTATGACTCTTCTCACAGAACAACTGAAGAATCTATGAATATTAATTTCATCTTTTGGTCTGGATCCAATCAAATGAAGTTGCCAACAAAATTAACTTAGGGTCAACAATGTTTCTTCACTAATTGTGACCCGAGGCAGATGTGCTATTAGAACCATGTTATAACCAAGAAACTGTTAAGTACCTACTTTATCTAATGGAAGACAACCCAAGTTCCATTGACTATGCCTTATAAAACACTCTACTGCACAACAGGAAGGTTTCTGGCATATGCAATTCTATTACCATGAAGTGCAATTTTAAACACAGATCCTAACATCACTGTTACCTCAACTCAGAAAAGTTATACTTTATTTTCCAACCACACAAATGACAAAGTATGTACTTCTATAAACACTATTCCATTAAATCTTAGGGACCTAGAATCTAAACACAAAAACTGATCTATTCTACTCCTGTTTACATGGCCACTCGAAGTAATAAAACAAACAAAAAGTGTTGTAAAAAAGTGAAAAGCAAAATAATGTTATCCAAACAAATGTCTTTAAACAAAGTAAGTTTTCCTTTCAAATAAATAGAACCAAGTATTTTAGCAATAAAAGTGCACATAATTAACATCAATTCATAGTGACTGGTATGCCATGGAATAGGAAAACACACAAATTACCCATTCAAAGGTCAAAAATATTTTTTCATACCCTTGCCTGTACTGTAAGTATAGAACTGCAAAACACTAACAGACTTTCTGAAAGTTTTTTTAAAAAATCCAGTAACTCGTTCAGAACTTCATAAACAGTTTCTGAGATACCACAAGCACCTGTTTCCAGTGCGTTCCAACCGTGGCTTTTAAGTGGAAACATGTACAAGCAAAAGCAGCAGTGCCCTGGGTGCGATGACCAAGGCGAAGCCCCCTCATACATATGCCCAAGGCTGGGATTAGGGACCCAAGGAGGGGGATTCTACCACTGTGCCCCGCGGCGCGGGGAACTTACAGCTCTGGTTTCATACAGAACCAGCTTCTGGACGGAGCTGATGATGGGGGCGGCGGCCGCGGGCATGGTAGGAGGAAGTTGGGGCTCCCACGACAGGGCACCAGGCCGCAGCCCAGGGTGCGGCAGCCTCCAGACAGTCCCAGGAGGCCCGGAGAGAAGACACCTCAGACCCCCGACACTAGATCCAGCCAGAAAACACCACTTGGACACTAAACATACAGACGACCGGGTACAGCTCAGGTGCTTCCGGATCCCTGCTCCCCCACCTCCAGGCAAGCCCCGCCCCGGGCGCGTCGGGGGCGGGACTGGAGGATATACCGTAGAGAGGTCGTGTAGAGGCTCCCAGAACCTGCGTGCTGCCTAGGGAGGAAGCGAAGGGCGCCATTTTTGGTGCGGGCAAGAGAAAAAGTGGGCGGAGAAAAGTCGTGTGCTTAGTTTCGGCTCTCGCTTCATCTGGTCTCCCTTTTTAGAAAAGGGAGACGATTTGCGCCTGGATTGCTTCTTTTGAAGCGGTTCTCCGAGTTGTAGATAGATCCAGTAGAAGTTGGTCTTTTTTTCTCTGCCTACTTCTGCCCTAATTTTCCTAGAAACATATCTGAGAGCCCTTCCCTGAGTGTCGGTGTTTTCCCCCTTGCATCTCATTGTTATCCATTTTAACCCTTGTGAGAGCCAACAAAAACCATATTGTTTTGAGGCTGTGGGGTTCAAGGAATTTTTTAAAAATCACCTTTTAAAAAAAAAATCACCTGCAGTTGGACATTTTGGACTTTGCCACGTATTTGTGGCGGAGACTGGCCATTTGTAAATTCTACAAATGGACTGCCAAGTGTAGTGCCCTGTGGTGCGGCACTGGCTTTGGAGACGGGCAATTGTGGGTTAAAATAAGGTTTCTTCCCTTTGATGTCTGTGAACAGAAGTGGGTAGTGTAAACACCGTCTCTAATCGTCACCTTCTATATCTGTGAAAAGGAATGTGTTATAAATACAAAGTTAAGTGCAAAAGTGAATACGTAAATTTTTAAAAAATGAATGAATTACAGCCCCGCCTCACGAGGCCGGGTCCCCCAAGAGGCTCTGCGCGAAGCCCCGCCACGGGTTCCCTAGGCAACCGGTCCACAGACAGAGAGGCACCGGAGGCTGTTGCTGCCGCGGGCGAGTGGGTCCTGTGGGCTTCTGACGACTCTGCTGTGGCGGAGTAAGTAGTCCCCCGCCCTTACGCCTTTTGTATCAACTGAATGGAACCTCACCTCCGGCGGGGACCCCAGACCAGTTCCTTTTCTTACAAAACTGAACTTTGGGATCTCTCGGTAAAGTACTTTTAAAGCCATTTTCCCTTCCAACGACTAATGTCTTCATTCCGCAAATATTTACTGAGCACCTACTAGGAGAGTATAAGGCGTCGCCACAGCAGAAGTTACTAGGTTTCCCAGGAGAGGGGCCGCCTGTAAACCACAGAACCCACTGCTGGAGGGTTTCCCAACAGCTAAAAATGTGAGGGAACTTTTAAAAATTCTATTGAATTATAGTATAAACGCATAACGTAATCTGATATTCGAGGTTGTTACACAACAAGGAGATGCTAGAGATCATATTGTAAATTTAAAATTGAGAGATTACCAATTTTTTTAAAAATAAATGTTTAATTATTTAGTATTTTAATTGTCTTTCATAGTTTAGTCCTACCTTTATTAAGAACTAGAAAGATCGTCACGTCAGTTCTGGCATTTTAGGTTGACCTGGATCTTTAAACTGGGAAGAATATTTAGTTCTGTTTTGTTTCATAATGGAAACCAATTCTTCTGAATATAAGCATTAAATACTTGCACTATGTTTTTGTTTAGGATAACAACTCATAATATCTGTAGACTTCTGGTTTCCAATATTTAGCTTTCAATTATTATATTATACTGTAATATAGCACTTCCATTTGAACTTTGTCTTTGTTGGTTTCCCCCAGAAGCAGATCCTGAGACAAAAATTCGACGGCAAGTGCTTTATATGGGAAGTAATCCCAGGAAACATCAGTGAGCAGAAGGAAGCTGATCAAGGGAATATTATAAGCAAATTTCTCTGTGGGCTGAATTCACTGGATAATCCTGAGATGTATGTTTCAGAGTAATTCTCTCTTAAGGGCAAAAGAGCTGGGGCATTTATTCACCAACTCCCATCAGTTATTGTCTGAGGCCTGCTATGGCAGAACATTAATTCCCTGGAACTTCCAGTGTGCCCTGTGCTCAGGCCGACTAGGTATGGCAGCTGGAAAGAGCCCTTAGGCAAAGAGTCACACATGCTAGCCTTTGGAAGTCAGGCTGGCCATGCATGGAAAAGGTACATGTCAAGTGGTTATGGGTACTAATAGCATCTGCTACGTTCCAACCTTTGCACTACTCACCCACCCTGCCCCCACATTAAGTTCACACCATCCCCTCACCAATTCTTCACGGTGGTGGCTGGTCCCAGTTTCTAAAAGAAAAGGACTTACTAAAAGATGATTAGTGGGACAAGCTACAGAATCCACTACTGCAATCAGTCCTAGGTCTGTAACTGATAATTCATCACTTCCGTCCTCTACCACCCATTCTAGATTTTTCTTACCATTGGCCAGCACTTTTGCTGGTCTCTGTTGTTTTCCCAGTAGGGTAACCAGGCTTCATCCCTGACGGGTGTAAGCTTCTCGTTACAGTGTCTTTGTCAGGTTGTGCTTGCTATAATTACAAGAGGTGTCTTAGAGAAATCCCTGAGTTCAAGACATACATCTCCCTCCTCCAAGTATGTAGCAGCAACCCTATCCTCAGCTGCCAGTGCAGTAATTCCTTATGGGCATGTGGAGCCACAGATGACCAGGCAGCAGTTTTAGGTTTAGTGAAACCTAACTAAGGGGATCCTCTGATAGAAGCATCTCTCTCCCATCGATCAAAACCAGAGCCTGAAGTCATGAGGAAAGGTGATACAAATTCCTCATGTCAATCACTGAGAGTGATGGTAGGAGGGACCATTCCTAACCCTTGGTTCAAAGCATATTTCTCATCTTGAAGTAGTATCTCAATCCCACGTGATCCCAAACAGAGCTTTAATTGTACCTTTAAAAGGCCATTCCAACATTCTGTCAGACCAGCAACTTCTGGATGAAGTGGTATGTAGTAGAATCAGTGGAACCTTCTTATCATATCTCCTTTACTATAAAGAGGGTCCTTTGATCCAAGGCAATATTATATGGATCTCACTGTGATAAATGAGACACACTCCAAACCCTCAGACAGTGGTGCTGGCCAAGGCATTATGGGTAGGGAAGGCACACCCATACTAGGGACACATGTCACCTGCTGCCCTCTCCAAGGTGAAGGGGTAATCAGTTTGTCACTGAATGGATATACCATATTGAGGGCTTAGCCTCAGTCTCTGCTGCAGACAGGTGAGGTGTTCAGTGGTGGAAGTGGCTAAATCAGCCTGGTGAGCCCATGCATGGCCTCCATTGCCTCCATCCCCACTATCATGCCTCCTCCATTCATGAGCCCGTTTTGGAAGCACTGAGGTGACAAGGATAAACAATGGCTGGCATTTACTGGATAATCATCCTGCTTTGTGAGACACAAAAATCCACATATTTTGTGTCCACTTATATTTATTTTCTATGTGACATAACAAAATTACCACAAATTTAGCAGCTTAAAACATACATATATTATCTCAAGTTTCCATGTTCAGGAGTCCTGGCATAGCTGAGCTGGGTGCTCCACTCAGGGTCTCACAGCGCTGCAGTCAAGGTGTTGGCTGAGCTGCATTTTCATCTGGAAGCCTGACTAGGGAAGAACTTGCTTCCAAGCTCATTTAGATTGTTGGTAAAATTCATCTTTTTGTGGTTGTAGGACTGAGGTCCCACTTTTCTTCCTGGCTGTTGTCCAGGGGCTGCTCTCAGTGACGGGAGGCCACCCACTGTTCCTTGTCATGCAGTCCTTTGACAACATGGCAGCTTAATTCAAAGCCAACCAGGAAGTCTCTCCAGTATACTAAATGGGATCTTATGTAATATAGTGTAATCATGAGAATAATATTTCTAACACTTTCGCTAGATTTAGAAGCAAGTCACAGATTCCATCCGCACGTAAGAGAAGGGAATAATCACACAGGGTGTGACTTGTTAGGGGTTACCATAGAGTGTGTTTGTACACCCCTCTCGTAGTTTCATTCACATACCTCTTCCCCAGAACTCTTTCTCTTGTCTTTCAATCTTGCTCCTCTCAGGCCCTTCACACCATTCAATATTGTCCTCCAAACGGAGGACCTAGGAATACTGCTTATATCTCGGCCCACAGGGGCGCCTGGGTGGCTCAGTTGGTTAAGTGTCTGCCTTCGGCTCAGGTCATGATCTCAGGGTCTTGGGATGGAGCCCCGCATTGGGCTCCCTGCTCAGTGGGGAGTCTGCTGCTCCCTCTCCCTCCCTCCACTTGTGCTCTCTCTCTCTCTCTCACTCCCTCTCTCAAATAAATAAACAAAATCTTTAAAAAAAAATCTTTGCCCACAAGGAGGATTTTCCCTAATCATCATCATTCACGGCTACCCCCGAGTGGGATTAAAGTTTGGAAGCATTCCATTTACAGCTTGCACCAATATACCATGATGCATCTGTGATTTTTAAAAATTTTCTATCAGCTATTCTTAGGGAATTCCATATGAGGTGTGAGCTGAAAGAGAGACATTGGTGAGCAAGAGATAGGTGACATGGGTTCTGGGCTGCTTATTTATGAAACTTATTTGTACTCTCCAGACCTGCTTGGAACTGAACACTTGGAAGTGTTCCATTTTTATCATTTGGTGGATTGCTGCTATGCCTGCCCAACTTGAGGACTTGATCTGACATACCCAGCTTATGATGGGCACGTCCAGTTCCATAGTCACCTGATGTCCTATGGCCAGGCATTCATTCTTTCCCGGAGCCCAGAGTATTACCAAGAGCTGCTTCTTGAACGGGGAATGGTTCTCTGCTACAGACAGCTGTGATATACATGAGAGGTTTCTGTCGTGGCTCTGCTAAGGCTCCAAAAGTATTCTTACGTACTCTAAGTACCTCCCTATTACATCATGGGATCTGGCCAGGTATAAGGCCCAAGAAGCAGGCCTCTGGTATCATACACTAAAACTGCTGCAGAGCTCTCTCTTGCTCTGAGCTTCACTCAAAACTGATAGCTTTCCAAGTCACCCATTAAATGGATCAGAAAGTATCCCCAAGTGAGCTACGTGCTGTCTCCCAAAACTAGAGACTTAAAAATACTGCCCCTCTTCTTTCAGAGGTAGAATGCGTAAGGTACAATAACTTGTCCTTTACCTTGGAGAGAATATCTCGGAATGACCCAGACCACTGGCCTTTTAAAACCTCACCAAAGTAATAAGCCTTTAAATCTTTGTAAATGTATCTTCCACTTTCTGCTGCTCACGTGTCTTATGAAGGCATCCAGAACACTTGCCACTTCCTGCTCACCCAGTATTGTAGATCAACAAGACCCCTTTGTACTAGATTTGCTACAGACACGGGAGAGACCTGGTGTAAAACTGAATGTCCCTTGCTCACTGTTCAAGTGAATGCAAACTGCTTCTAATCTTCTATTCTGACAGGGATTTAAAAAAACACAACACATTTGCCAGATGAATAACTACATACCAAGTGCAAGAAGCTGTGTCCAGCTAGTAAAGATCTCATCTGCACAGCACTTACAAATGGGGCTATCCCTTGGTTAAGTTTTCAGTAGTCCACCATCATTTGTCATGATCTATCTTGTTTTTTCAAAAAGCCACACTGGAGAATTAAGCAAGGCCATGCATCTTTTAAATAGTTTTGGGTAGCACCTTTCCATTTCATTCATTCAGAATGATTTACTCTTATTTATCTGGCCTAGGGGCCAAGGAGCAGGTAAGCAATTTCATGACCTTCCACTTGGCTTTTCTACCACATTGGCTCTTACTCCACAGGCAGGGAACCACTGTGAAGGTTTTACCAGCTGCAGTCCCCATTATGTACTCAGGGACCAGGAAAATAACCATGAGATGATTCTGCAGACCCTGTACTATAGGATAGACTTGAGCCAAGACTCCATTTATTACTGGTTCTCCATTTGCTTTCACTCCTACAGGGGGCCATGATGGCATTTTGAATCCACTGGTGTTGGTGTCAGCTCAGACCCTGTGTCCTATTGACTTGGAAAGAGGAGGATAGTCCCATTTCCTCAGTGTGTATTTTCCCAGTTAATGGTTGTAGGTTCTCTTGGAGAAGGATTGGGGAATCCATATTGTGAATACTTGTTAGGTGTTGTAGGGTCTATTCTCGAGGGCTCCTTGCCTCGCCTTCAATAAATGGGCTTTGGAACTAAGAGTTGGGCAAGGAATCATGATTTTCCACTGTGGCTGCTGACATCAGCCTTTGATTCACTTGCCCTTTGTCATTTTTAGAAATGTAAGTTCATCAGCATTTTTGCTTACTGCTCATCTGTTTCACCCCTAGAAATTCTGTGGCTTATCAGCCGTCACCACAGATCTTTGTGGGTCTTGCTTGTTGCCATTCTGGACTTGCTGCCCATTCTAGTAATTACACCTACTTTGCAGCCTTTCTCCTACCTCCAATCCTGGCCTACAAAGGATAGCCACCACTGAGCTTATTAATGATACTAGTGCCTCCTTACTAGTTCATTCCTTGTAGCCTTAAAGAAGGGAGTATCCTCTGGCCATCCCAAAGAGCGGAGTTGGCCGATGCATTCTCTCGCCTCATTTAACATGTCCTCATTTAACAAATCCATCTAACATGTCACCTCTGTGAGCCTTTCACACCCTACTCCATATCCATTTAGCATAGATGCTAACCTGTTGCATCTAGAGGCATAGGTTAAATAAGGACAGGAGGCTCCTTTCTGCACAAGTGCAATAAGCACAACAAACTTAACTCTTCCCCTGCTGAGATGTTATAACTACAAACAGACTGCTAGATGGGTGGAGAGGATGGTCCCTGGGCAGTCCTCAGCTGGGGTTCTCTGTCAGGATGTCTAAGGTCCATCCTCCTATCACTCATGCCTAGTTTCCTGCCTAACACAGGTAATCATGGGGTTCAAAGTACTTAAACATCCACCTAAATGTTCCATCCCAGGCCTTAGGGCCCTGGTTTTAGTGTACTTAATATTCTTTAATAAATGTACCATCTCTCTAAAAGGTTTAGATGCATTGTCTCCTTTATAGCTACATTTTATAGTAGCATTACTTATTTTTTGGTACTAAAAATAACTTGAAATTTTAGTTCTTTTGTCATGAAGTTTTCATCTCAATCTTTTTAACATACTAGTAATAATTCTTATAATGTCTTGTTTCATAATGACATCTTAAAGTAATATTGGTATATTAAGCCCATTTGAATATTCTTAAATTCCACAGAGAAATATAAGCATATCCCATTTACCAGGAAGCATATAGCCCCCATAATCCATTTTCATTGTTCCATGAACAGTGTCCCAGACCACTGGGACATAGTTTTGTTCCATTTTTGAAGTCTGCTTATTAAAGTCATTTCATAAGATTTTGTAATTTTTCCCTAAAGGGTTTATATATCTTTTATAATATTTAATCCTGGTTGCTTTATTATTTTGCTGCAAAGATAAGTCTTTTTATCTTTAGTTACATTTTCTAGCAATTCATGTTGTATAGAAATGCAACTGAATTTTGTATAATTTTGAATCCAGCAAATTGGATTATCAGATTAATTCTCAAAATTTATCTGTGATATATTAGTTTCCTATGTAGACAATCATATCAACTGGGAATAATCACAGTTTTCTTTCTTTTGTCTTGTCATGACCTGAAAAGAACATTTTTAATATTTAATCATTAAATGTAATGTTTGTCTTTTGTTAATACCTTTTATCAGGTTAAAGAAATTCCCTTCTATTCCTAGTTGCTAAGAGATTTATCCTTTATTAATCATTAAAAGGTGTTGATTGTCTCATACTTTTTCTACATCTATTAAGACAATCATACAGTTTTTCTCTTTTATTTTAATATGATAAATTAATTTCTCATATTAAGCCAGACTTGAATTCCTGGGGAAAGCCCAACTTGGTCATGATGTTATCTTGTTATATATTGCTGGATTCAGTTAGCTAATTAGGATTTTGTAAATCTTGTTCATGAATGAAATTAGTACATCATTTTGCTTTTTCACACTATTCTCTGATTTAGGTAAAGGTTATATAAGACCAATAAACTGATGTAAGAAGTCTCCACTTTATCTTTTCTCTGAAAGAGTGTAAGATTCTAAGACTTGGAGCTCTTCAAAAAACCATCTGGTTTCTTTTGTGGGAAGATTTTTAGTTATTGACTCAGTTTCCTTATAGTTATAGAACCACTCAGATTTTCTTTTTTTTTCCTGAGAAGCTGATTTTTCTAGGAATTTATCAATTTTGTTTAAATTTTCAAATTTATTTGGGATAACTTTGTTTATGATATCCTTGACTTATCCATATTATGTCTGTAGCATTGTTACTCTGTAGTCCTTCCTCCTTTCTGTGTCTAATATTGTTTGATCAAGTAGACAATAAATCAGTAGGCATTATGGAAGATTTAACCAATAAGATTCACAAACTTGATGTAAACCTCATTTAAAGAACACTACATCAAAAAAACATAAATCACATATCCTTTTCAAGGAATCAGGGAATCTTTTAAAAAACTACAATGTACTAGGCCATAAAGCAAACCTCAACAAATTTCAAAAAATTAGTATACCATGGAGAACATTCTCTGATTCATGATAGAAATAAAAAACAACAAAATCTTAATGTTAAGATATAAGAAACCACACTTCTAAAATTGTTTAATTGTGCTTTCTATTTTCTTGATCAATCTTGACAGTTTTCTATTTATACGTTTTTTTCAAATACCACTATTTAGCTTTGGTGACCCTTTCTATATATGTTTGTTTTCTATTTCATTAACTTTTAAAATATATTTTTCTATTTTTCCTGGTTTTTTTCCCCAACATCTTAAAAGTGCTGAGCTTATCTCATGTACTTTTCAGAGTTTCTTTGGTTCTAATGTAAGTATTTAAGGTTTCTAAATATTACTTTAGCTACATCTTCTAAGTTTTGTTATATATGTTCATTTTTTTTCAGTTTACATATTTTCTAATTTCCATTCAGATTTCTGTTAGAGCCATTAGTAGTTCCTACACATGTGCACATACACGCATATATATGTGTCTCTATAACATATATATGTATGTATATATATAGCATATTTAATTTGATCTTTAATCGAATATACACATCATAACATATGTTTATGTATGTATATATGTATTTTTATCTTAATCTTGCAGAAACACTTCGTTTTAGCTCTCTTTTGTACAACATATAGCTCATTTTGCTTTTTGTCTCAAACTAAGAGCCTATTATTTTTTTAATAGGTAAGTTTAACTTATTTGTGAATATCGGCCAAATCTTTGTGTTTAGTGATGTGGAATGGCTTCTAGGCTAAGTAAATTCTCAGGATATTCTCATTCTCCTTCACCTGCCAGCTTCTTCCAACTGAATTAGTCACTAATAATTTTACTCTTTCTTATTGTAGTAGTTTATATTATGAATTCTCAAGAGAAGACAGAAGAGCATCCTTTTGCAGATATATTTAATGAAGATGAAGCTGAATATAACTTTTTGCTGTCTAAACCTGTTTGCTTTGTTATATTTGGGAAACCAGTAAGTTATCTTTTCTAACTTACTATTTACTATAATTTTTATTTTTAAAGTCATAATATTATGTTACCATACAAGAATGAAAACCACATAATGTGCTAATTTTTTCGAGTGTTAGGCTTTCATTGTATGACTTAAAAACTGATATAATATTGGTTGTAAGTTCCTAACTTTATCTTGTCTTGTACACTATAATTGAAAAGGAACCTACATTGTACTTATCTTTGTTTTTATATTATGAAGAAATAGAACTCATCAAATCATTGCACCATGACAATTGTTAGTAGTCTATGATCCAAGGTTATTTCTAACATAATTTGCTTATAAAACTTTCTGTGAAATTTGTTATGAGGTTCTCTGGGTATGTGAAGAAGGGTCACTATAGAGACAAACTGGGGCTCTCCCATTAATATCTGAAGCTACTGAGAGGCAATGTGCCTCACCTTTGCCCACAGTGTGTTTGCAGACCTATGTATTGTCTTTCTACAAAATAAAAAGAAACCAAAAATGGATGATATAAGATAGCCTGCTTTTCTAGGCATTTCTAGTAAGGACCTCTAAATGAGAGGTATTTTCAGCCATTGAACTAGTTGGTAGTTAGCACTAGAGAGCCTGAGCTGGTGAATTAAAGATCCTCTCCAGAACAGCAGAGACTAAGAGCTGGATCCCACTCTCGATTTAATTTTATATAGACCCTGGGACAGGTACCAGGAAATGGTTCCAGTAATTTTCATTATGTTTCTCAACATATAATAGAGTTTTAAAAGTCAACAGTGAACATGGATGGAACTAGAGGGTATTATGCTAAGCGAAATAAGTCAATCAGAGAAAGACAATTATCATATGATCTCACTGATGGGTGGAATTTAAGAAACAAAACAGAGGATCATAGGGGAAGAGTGGAAAAAGTAAAACAAGACGAAACCAGAGAGGGAGACAAACCATAAGAGACTCTTAATCATAGGAAACAAATTTAATGAATGAGGGTTGCTGGAGGGGAGAGGGGTGGACGGATGGGGTAACTGAGTGATGGACATTAAGGAGGGCATGTGATATAATGAGCACTGTGTATTACATAAGACTGATGAATCACAGACCTGTACCCCTAAAACAAAAAAATACATTATATGTTAATTAATTGAATTTAAATTAAAAAATGTTCAACATAAAAGTCAACAGTGAGAGCAATCAGATGCAAATATTACTACATTAAAGTGATCTTTTGTCTTGAAAATATACTTTTCAAAGATGTCCATTTAATAAGAATTTTTTGTTCTTGTAAGTTACTAAGTGGAAGTCTGTCAAAACATTCATGACTAAAAACTTTAGAAAAGAGATAAAGTGATGGATTTCAATATAATCACAACGATATGTATTCAAATTACAAAATTTGACAATCAAAAGAGGACAGTACCTGGAATGCCATAATGGTACAGCTGCCTGGTTTCAGGGCTATTTTCTTAATTTAAAAAATGTTATCTAAATCACTTCAAAAATGTGGCAAATGTAACAATGAGTAGAGAAAAATTAAGCTATAAATATCTAGAGTCTGCTGTTCATTTATTTTGTGGACAAAAAATTTACTTGATAATATTCATGTATTGTAATCATCAATAGAGTCTTTTAGTATATGTGCTGCTGAAGCGAGCACATCAATAGAGTCTTTTAAAATGAGAATATCTGTTTCACTGGCAAATGCCTGTGGGTTTTAAATAACATCTTTCTTTTTAAGGGGGTTGGGAAGACAACTTTAGCTCATCAAATAACACAGGCATGGAAATGTATTCGTGTAGAAGGTAAATTTTACTCTTTCCTCCCAATATTTTATTATAAAAACTTTATAAAATGTAAAGAATATATCATCTAGATTCTATGATTAACATTTTGCTATAATTACTTTATCACATATCACTACCAACCTAGTGAATGTTATCTTCAAAATAGCATCAGGCATATTTTTGCCTTTCAGTTAGTCCTAGTTTTGTTCATAGAAGTTAGGAGGGTTTATGAAATGTCTTTGACTTCATTCTACTCCCTCCAATTCTCTAATTCCCTCATTTAGAACTACTGGGGACATGTGTGTTTTGGGTATCTCCCTATGAAAGATGAGAAGAGAAGAAACTCTCACAGCTGTTCTTGAGAGCATTTTTTAAGACTTAATTATTCTTTTTAAGATTTTATTTATTTGAGAGAGAGAGAGAGCTCAAGACAGGAGCAGGGAAGGGCAGAGGGAGAGGGGGAACCAGGTTCCCCACTGAGCAGGGAGCTGGATGCAGGGCTCAATCCCGGGGTCCTGTCATGACCTGAGCCGAAGGCAGATGCTTAACCTACTGAGCCACCCAGGCACCCCAAGACTTGATTATTTTCAATGATAAATTTTATTTTTTATTATTTTGCTTTGCATTCCCTGCAGTATATAAGATGAGGACTACTAACTTTATATAAAGTATTCTTTTAATCAATAAAACTATTTTTGTTCTAATAGAAAAATAAGCAAAAGAATGAATCGGCAATTCATAAAAGTAGAAATTAAAAAATAGACAAATATAAGAAAAAAGTCATTATTCAAAGAAATTATTATTCGAAGAAATGCTAATTAAAATAACACTGATCCATATTTACCTATCAAATTGACAAAGAATCTTCTATAATCATTTTTGGCAAGAATGTTATGAAATGAGGATTCCATGTGGTGTTAGTGAAATTGCAATCTGGTACAATTTTGAGGAGAACAATCATAGATTACTAGCAGTGAGGGACATAATTCAGTTCCTGAGTCCTCCCATAGGTCTTGCCCCTGTCATTTCTGTCCCAGGATGTCTTCCATAAGGGATGGAATATTTCCTCTTAAAAGGAAAGAAATCATTGGAATTCCAGCCTCAGGCCCCCTTTTTCTAATCAGCGTTTATTTTTACATTTCTTGACGCATACTTTCCTTTTATATAATCAGAGTGCAAAATTAATGAGCTCTGGATATAACTCTGTGGTTATAAAAGTATCTGGACTAATGATACTTAGTGTATACTTTTGAGTGACACTTTACAATTTCCCAGTCACTGTCACGGACACAATGTCATTTCATCCTCACATTCTCTTGCATACTATACAGGGCATAAGCATGCAAGGCCCAGAGGTATTTAAGTAGTTAGCTTCCTCAAGATATTTTAGCTAGCGAGTGGCAGAGACAAGTTCTCTGTGGAATACATTCTGCTGCCTCATGCTTTCGTTAGGCTTACACGACATAATGTGTATAAATATGTTTTGTAAACTCTTAAAGTGATATGCAAATATTAATCTTTGTTACCATTATAAAACAAGTATGTTTCTTAATTTGGCAATTCTAATAGCAGTTTGTGCTAATAATTTGAATTCATATTTTAGTTTTACCAATTTTGGAAGAACAGATTGCCAGGGAAACTGAATCAGGAGTTATGGTAAATCTGTTTCAAAATTATTATGATTTAAAAAAAAAAGCTCTGTGTCACAGATGTATATATACTAATATACACTATCTTTTTTGGTTCTTAGTTGCAATCAATACTGCTCAGTGGTCAAAGCATTCCAGATGAACTTGTCATAAAGCTAATGTTGGAGAAGCTCAACTCCCTGGAAGTTTCTCACTTTGGTATGTTTATTTTTATAAATCGGTGGCTATCGAAGCAGCCTTAAAACTTGTGCTTTAGCTGAGGCACACATAATTTCCGGAGTTGCTCTTTCTTTTTCCCTGATGTGGGAATTCCAGAGCCTGAATTCAGTTAAGCAGCTTAGATATTTTTATTTGCTTGTTTACTTCCTTTTATTCTTCAGATTCTACATTTGTAAATAAATAAATAAATGTAAATGGTTCAATCTTTTTTTTTTTTTTTTTTTGGTTCAATCTTCTTTGAGCACTGTGTTATCCAGCAAAAGCATCAACACTCTGCTGTGGTCCTACTCACAGTGCTGGCAATCTCTGCTGACTGCTTTCTCATTCACTCCGGGTTTTATTACTGAGTCCTGTCCGTGGCTAGTCTTCTCTGCATGAATCCACACTTATAAGGCAGGAATTTCTTGAATGGTACCAGCTTACCCTCTGGCTCCAGATATTGGCAGGCTTCAGTCTGTTCACCCAGTCTACCCTCTCACTCTAGACCCAAGAAATCTCCCTGCACTCAAACAGATGCTGAGCAGGGGTTTGGGGCCTAATTTCTCAAGACAAACGCTACTGAAGCTCCAGAATGACTAAATAGAAAAGAGCGAACCCTATGACATTTGCAAAAGAACGAAGAGGAAGAAAGATGTGCTGGGGAGAAAATCATCCACCTGAAATAGATTTATTGAATGAAAGAAGAAAAACTTAAGCTGCTTTGTATCCTTAGTAAGTTAAGAGAGGACATTGTGACTATTAAGAATATAGAGATAAAAATAAAATGCAGTAAAGTAAAAACCATGATTGCCAAAGCAAATCAATAATGGAAGTAGCAAAAACAGATGTCACTGCAAACTATGTCTGTATCATTTATATCTATAGATAAAAAGATTTCTCTACAGACAGATGATATATAGAACAAACTGCATCTATCCATCCACATATAGATAAATATCATCTCTCTATTATATATGTTGTGTGTGTGTGTGTGTATATATATATATATGCTTTGTCTACACATCAGTCTATCTATTGATCAGTGATAAAGAAGATGAGCTTGGGAAAACATCCAGAATGTGGGAGGTTAAATGAGTAAAAAGGTAAAAAGGACAATGACAGAATTCCAACATAGGTCAATAAATGACCTCCAAAAGCGAAGTGATTGAAACTGAAGCATGGGGGCACCTGGGTGGTTCAGTCATTAAGCGTCTGCCTTCGGCTCAGGTCATGATCCCAGGGTCCTGGAATTGAGCCCCACATCAGGTTCCCTGCTCGGCGGGAAGCCTGCTTCTCTCTCTCCCACTCCCCCTGCTTGTGTTCCCTCTCTCGCTGTGTCTCTCTCTGTCAAATAAATAAAATCTTTTAAAAAAAGAAGAAGAAAGAAACTGAAGCATGTATGCAGAAAGGCAGGCAAATATCTTCTTGTTTATACTTTGTCTCCCCTTACCTCTTAATAAAAATTAGAGTAATTTACTCACAAAAAGATGGTATAAATGATGAATATTGGCAAAAAGAGAAAAGATAGTGAAAAAATAAACCTACTCAGCTATGCCATTCCTGATGTTCAGAATCTTTTTAACTTCTTCTTGTGGAAGATTTCAAACAAAAGTAAAGAAAGTGATATAAAACTCCCCCCATGTGTCCCTCACCCAGCTTCAATGACAACTCTTGTCTAATCTTGTTTTTTTTTTAAATAATTTTTATTGTTATGTTAATCACCATACATTACATCATTAGTTTTTGATGTAGTGTTCCATGATTCATTGTTTGTGCATAACACCCAGTGCTCCACGCAGAATGTGCCCTCTTTAATACCCATCACCAGGCTAACCCATCCCCCACCCCCCTCCCCTCTAGAACCCTCAGATTAGTTTTATGTAAACTCCTGCCCACATCCCTCCCCCAACCTACTTTATTTTGAAGCTAATTCATATCATATCAGTTCATCTGTAAATGTTTTAGTATATATCTCAAAAAGATAAGGACTATTTTTAAACCTAGTATCACGTTAAATTAATAGTAAATCATCTACTGACCACTCTGTGGTCAGATTTCATTATTTGCCTTGTTTATTTTTTTTTCTAACTGATCTTTGGGTTTTTTGTTTGTTTGTTTTTTGGGGGGGTTGTTTTATTTGTGTGTGTGTTGTTTTTTTGTTTTTGTTTTTGGGGGGGTTTGTGGAAGGATCCAACCAGGTTTCAAATATAGCAGTTGACTGGTATGTCTCAAGTCCCTTTTAATCTATAAATTCCCTCTACCTCCTTCTATCATCTTGTGTTCTCTTTGTTAAAAAAACAAGTTATTTGTGTTTAAGAAATTTCCTGCATTTTGGATTTTGCTGACTCGCATCCCCTCGTATCATTTAATGTATTCCTCTTCCCCTAGACTTGCTGTACACTGGTGCTTGTTCTGGGAGCTGGCAGAGGAAAAGCAGTATAAATGATTTGTTGAGTCTGAGGGCCACACTATTAGCATGCAATTGCATGGCTGTGTTTTAGGCATGCACACCTGGGCTTATTTAAAGGCTATAGTGGGACGGGACCTAGAACCCCTTCTGCCCAAATTCCCTTCACCTATTCTATAGCATCCTCAAAGGAATTTCTGTGGAACCTAGCACCCTGCTAAATGCAGTTTAAAAGTCTTTGCTCGGCAAGGAATCTTTCTGATGTTTGGTCCTACCCACCAGACTGGTGGATGATAGAAGCAAAATTGGAAGTGATGAGCTTTCAAAACAGGGATATTAACTTGGGTGGGGTCTGGGTGAGGCTGGGTAATTGATGACTCTAAAATCCCTAAAGACAGATGTGGGCTGCTGGGCACACTGCACAACAGAATGTTGCCAAATTCAATCTTAATTTTTTTTCTGTACCAGAGCCTTTTTACAGTTGAAACTTTTTATCATATTTAGAAATAACTTATACAATCTGTAATTACAATCCTTTCATTCACAACCTGTCATGCTGTGTTGGCCTTTGGCCAAAATCAGCTTCCATGAACTGCATCCTTACCCAAGAGAAAAAGGTAGAGCCAATGCCTGGGCATCCTGAGAAGCCCCTCTCTGCTTCCTGTTTCTAGATTCCAAAAAAACTCACTTTCGCCAGTAATGATGGACAGCCCTAGTCTGGGCATTCCTTGCCCCTGGCGTATCACATTGTGGATAGTCTCGTAAGTCACTGGTCAGCAGTGTGTCCTCTCAAGTCAGGCTGGCATGAGGTCAGGTACGTATTAGGGCTGGAGGGACATAAGCTACCTGATATTTCTGAATCTCTCATCACTTCAATCTGAAAGCAGTAGCATGCCATCTTCAGTTTTGTGGAAATAGGAATTCATTCCACTGTAGGGGGAAAGTGATGGCATGGGCCAAGTAGTTACCCCTGGGTAGTCATATGGACAGTATTTTAAATTTTTCCCGGGTGGGGGTGATGCAGGCTGAATACTAGCCTGCAGCGTATCTACTCTGCCAATGATAGTACATACAGAGCTTCGCTGCAAGGAGTGGCAGGAGGTCTACCATTCTTCCCTCTTCAGCATTGAGGGTAGGGGCTTGATAATGGTGTCAAGGAGATATGGGACAGAGAGGGGAAGTCCTCATCTCTGCTTCCATATTCACACATGTCTCTGGGGTTAGAGAGGTTGGCAGTGGGCTTGGCAGCTCTGATATGTCTACAAAGAAGTTTCCTTGTGAGTATCCAGAATTGGGTCTAGAGAACTAAGCTCTTCCGCTCTCCCACATCTCTTCCATAGATACTTTCCTAGGGTCTGGGTGTGATGATACTGGCCACCTCTCAATGAGTAAGGCCCTAAAACTCATCACTCCGAAAATTCAGGCAGCCCAAATACTGGCCTATCAGGTGAGAACCAGACCCCATGGAAACAACCCACTCTTCTGCTGCTTCCACTAGGAAAGAGACCAAGTTTTAAACTCATTCCGATATACATGTATGCCTGAGGTTTATGATACCTACAAACAGTTGCACTTGAAATGCCTGATAAGCTGTCCAGGCAGTAGCAGTGATTGCAGTAATCTACAGGGTGCTGGAGAGCACAGCACACAGCCAAACATCCTTCTGTCATCCCTTTGTAATACACAGATGGTGGGCAGTGCTGCCAGCAGAGGGAATGAAGGGGAGGTGTTGTGTAATCCCCTGTTGCTTGGAAGGGGAAGGCATGAACTCTGGAGATGGATGGTCTCTGGAAATGTCAAGTCAGGAGGGCTGAGCTGGGCAAGGGTTGAGTTCAGTCTAGGGCTAGGCCCCCTCACCACAGTACTCACCCTTAAAATATGTCAGACCAGGGGTTTAATGCCAGCCATCCTGTCCCAAAGTCTTGACAAGTTTCCAATAAGGTTGTTAATCAAATGGAGAATAATTTAACAACAGGCTCCAAACCAAACTAGGGAAGTAGGAAGCCAGGGAAACAAAAGGCTAGAGCAGCAGGAGGTGGCAAGTAGAGGAAGGCCTGGCCCAGTTCCTGAGACAGTGCCAATGCGTGCAGTGGCTAAATTTTTGCCGGGGGGGTGTTGGGTTCACTTAAGGAACCTTGAATAGAACGGATGCCTTAGGATATCACCACTACTTCAAAATTTTTGAGACACAACAGCAAAAGCAAATGAGTAAGCTGAGTTGGAAACTAAAGATTATAGTAAGACAGGAGAGAATCATGATTATAGCTCACATATCCAAAACCAAAGAAAATAGGTCTTCCTTTTTGCCTTTTGAAGTTAAACTACTTAGGATTGCTTCTCTGGATAGCATCCAACACATAGTTAGCAGAAAGTGAAGTGTTTGAAATATCTTAGGAGAAATGCCTAAGGATTTGATGAGATTTTGGATTAGTTGGTAGTTGTTGGTAGTTGTTGGTCTGCTTTTGTAAACTAAAAAACTAATAATAATAAGCATGTGATAAGCATGTTCTTAGAGGATTTTGAGATTGGTTTATTAGGCACATTCATTTATTCATCTATCAACAGATGCTTAATACCTTTTTTTAATCATACTATTCTAGGCATTGCATAGGATAGCAGTTCTCAAACTTTTTAGTCTCAAGACTCCTATATACTTATAAAAATTGTTGAGGCCCCAAAAGAGCTTTTGCTTACTTGGGCTATATCTATCAGTATTTATCATATTAGAAATTAGAACTAAGAAATATTTAAAATATTTGTTTAAAAATCATAACAAAACCATCACATGTTCACATTAATAGCATATTTTATTAAAAAATAATTTTATTTTTTTTGCAAATCTCTTTAATATCTGGCTTAAGAGAAGACCCAACTGGATTCTCATATCTCCTTCTGCTCAATCTGTTGCAATATATTGTTTTTACTGAAATATATGAGGAAAATCCAGCTTCACACAGATATGTAGCTAGAAAGGGGAAGTATATTTTAATAGCCTTTAGAATAATTGTGAGTATTCTTGATCCTACATTAAAACTCACCAAGGGGAACTTTCTTAAAGGTTATTTGCATTATAGAATCCAAAACCACATTGAGAACTTTTCAAACTCTGTTAATTAAAATCCATTTGTCTATCTTAAACTTAGACTGGGTCTTTTACCCACGCATGATTTGCAGGCACCATGCAGTGGTTATTTTGGAAAATATTGACTAACTGTGCTAAGTTTTCCAAATGTTGACACTTTTCATTATACACTGTCAAAAAATCACTTTTATTAATTTCACCACCAATATCATCAAGAAAAGTTTTAAAAATTGGTAAGTTGTTAAGCTTATGGCAGTAGATAAATATTTTCTAAAATTTGAATTTTTGCTTGAATTTTATCATTGGCAACAGATACTATCAGTGGTTGTCCTTGAAGTGACCAGCTCACTCCACTCACTTTTTATAAAATGTCTGCCAAATATCCAAAACTGAATAACCATAATTTGTCTGTCAGTTCTTTCAAGAAAAAAAGTCCTATTAAAAATAGCAGAAAAATTGAAGTCCTTAATTCTGAGGGAATTGAGACTTTATTAATAAGAGAAAATTTTCTCAAGCAAGAGAGTGACGTAATCAAAGAAATATATTAAAGAAATTAATGTGATGATGGCAAATGGGATGAATTTCAGTGATAAGATTTAGGTTTTTGGGTGGGGATGCAAGCCAATGTGCTAAGCCAAAATCATATTGATAGTGTTCTGTTTTTTAAACTGTATGGGGAGAACATGGGTGTTTTATATATAAACATTATGTATGTACATATTCTATTATAAAACATTAGCTTTAGAAAGAAAATAATATACTATACACCCCCTATAATATACCCTTACGGCTTTCCTAACGTTCAAAGAATTATTAGCATGGAATTTCCTTCCCTAGACACCTCATGTGCTTAAAATAAATTGATTTGGAATTTTTAAAGATGTCTCCTCCTAGCTCAGTGATTTTATGATCAGAAAAACATTATTCACAGTTATACTTCATGTGGCAATAAACTTAACTATTAATTAAAAATATTTTGACAGATTTTAAGATCTACATTAATATTCATCGATAAGCAAATGACATTTTATAAAGTAATAACAAATCAATGCTCTCATATATTGATAACATTATAAAACTTTAAAAATTATATTTTACTCAACAGGTTATATTATCACTGAACTACCATCACTTTCACAGGATGCCATGACTACTTTGCAGCAAATAGAATTAATTAAAAATTTAAATTTGAAACCTGATGTTATAATCAATATTAAGGTGAGAATATTAGTTCTTTTGTAAGTATAGTTACCATTCTTTTTGATAGTAGTGGAAATCAAGGAACGTCTTCAAGAATATTAATGAGGTGCCTGGGTGGCTCAGTTGGTTAAGTGTCTGCCTTCGGCTCAGGTCATGATTTCATGGTCTTGGGATCAAGCCCCGAGTTGGGCTCTGCACTGAGTGGGGAGTCTGCTTCTCTCTCTCTCTCAAATAAATAAATAAAATCTTAAAAAATATATTAGGTAGTTAAGGAAATAATAACTTATATATCAACCATAGGGACTACTGAGTTACACCTTCTGATACCTCTGTATTTCTGAACCTGCAGTTCCATCCACAGGAAGTATCTCTCTGTCTCTTCAACAGTCTTCAACATAGTCATCCTTTGAAAGTCGGTTCAGACATGATCTGTTTCCCTGATGACGACCCCTTCCACACCAACACACATATTAACTAACTCATTCTCTCTCTCTCACTTTCTCCTTTTCTCTCTCCCTCTTCCTTCTCCTCTTCTCTTCCTCCTTGTCCCCTATACCTTACTTACCACAGGAGAGTTAAATACTTCTCTGATGACCATTCATGTTGCTGTCTTCTATTGTTTTATCTTATATATTGTACTTGTCCATTTTCCTTCTGGACTCTGCTTTATTTGAAGGCAAGAACCATGTCTTACTCTTATAAACATCAACTAACACAATATATGATACCTAATAGACACCTGATAAGTTTGCCAGTTAAATAAAATGAAAGAAGGAGCAAATGAGTTGGACATATGAATGTTAAAAAACATTACTAGATTGGTTAAGAATCAAGCTTGGGTCCTGTTCCCAATCTCTCCTTTATCAACAGCATGTGGTAGATGACATTTAGGAGACTCGATTTCCTCTTTACAAAAATAATAACTGCCTCGGGGCGCCTGGGTGGCTCAGTTGGTTAAGTGACTGCCTTCGGCTCAGGTCATGATCCTGGAGTCCCGGGATCGAGTCCCACATCGGGCTTCCTGCTCAGCAGGGAGGCTGCTTCTCCCTCTGACCCTCTTTCCCTCTCGTGCTTTCTGTCTCTCATTCTCTCTCTCTCTCTCTCAAATAAATAGATAAAATCTTTAAAAAAAAAATAATAACTGCCTCATGGGGGTATGATAAGAATTCAGGGAGTCCAGGTCTGTTGGTTGATATGAAAATTAATAAGCTCTTATATTCATACCTGCCTGATTCCCCATATGGTTTGACAGCTCAGAGTAAAGGAGATGATTGTCAGCTCAGGTGCTGGTGCCCGGGAATGTGTTAGGGTTGGCTGTGAGAGAGAGGAGGTGTTGTGGTGCTGAGCATGGTGTAATCTGCAGCCCACCACAGGCCATGGTTGGAGGCCAATCAAAATCCCTGCACGGACCTTGAGAATGTCACCCATGTGAACATGTGTATAAGGGAGAGAAGAAAAGTTCTCAAACAATTAACTAAAACCAAATATAAAGTCCGAGCCATGGAAAACATAGATTGTATAGGAAATTAACACCTGGTGGAACAAGAATACAAATATACAGGCCACTAGCTTCCAAATGCTTCCTACATTTGAAGCATAAATTTGGTTCTGAGTTTGATGAGCCAAAGTAGAAGGGGAAATGTAACCAGTTATATAAAATTCACACTGTCTGTGAAAAGATAAGACATTCCTCAGGAAAAACAAAATGAGAGAAATTAGAATTAAAATTTTAAATGAGAGAAACATCTTACATGGGTCTTAATATAAAAGATCATCAAGGTAGAGAATGAAGGCCTTAACCTCATTTATATTATAAATGTGATAGCGAGTACCCAGTTTCTACACATTGACTCAAGTGTAATCAGAGGACCTAATGTGAGACAGAACTCAATACAACACACATTTCTCTGGTGGTTTGGCCTTATTTGGGGATAAACCTTGGAATTTCTAGAGCAGAAATTCTTAGCCTGAAATCCAGGAATCCTTAAATATCCGTGAACCTTCTGAAATTATTTTATTATGTGTATCTGTTTTTCTGAAGCAAAAGCCAATAGCTTTCCTCATATTCTAATGGGGCATGTACTACCAAAAAAAAAAAAAAAAAAAAAAGATTAAGGGCCAGTGATCTACTACAGCAGTGGTTCTCAGAGTACAGTCCCAGAGCCAAATGCATCAGCGGCACTCAGAAGCTTGTTAGGAATACATATTCTTAGGCCCCACCCCAGAACTATGACTCAGAAACTCTGGGGGGGGGAGGGGGCATTCAGCTCTCCGTGTTGAAAAGCCCTTCACATGACTCTGATGCCCGCTGAAGTGTGAGGACCACTGCTCTGAGGCATGTCCTTCAGACTCACCCTCGTATTAGTCACTTCCTGCAAGTGAACGTAGGAGACAGCTGAAGGCAGTAGTCTTTGTCAAGGACCCACAGTGTGGGTGTTCTGGGTCACTGAATAAGGAAGGGCAAACACGCATTATAAAAATGACCCAAGAGGGCTGAAATCTTTCTTGTGAAAAATTAGGAAACCTAAATGAATGTCTTGCCTCAGTAAATACCCATCCCATCTCCACATAGAGGTGGCCTGAAGAAATCTGAAAATGAGCAAGGAAGCTCCTAAAGTTTTGTTTCTCAAAGTGTGGTGCATGAACTGTCGGCGTCAGAATCACTGAGGATGCTTGTTAAAGTTACTGATGTTGTTCCTTAGTGCCCTGACTACGACCTATGCCAAAGAGTTTCTGGGCAAAGGCAGCACAGTAGTACAGGGTACCTATACAGAAGAGATCAGTGGGACCCTGAAGTCATTGAGAATCGTAGGAAAAAAAGGAAGGAAGCCCAAAAAGAAGGAAAAGGAGAAGAGGAAGGTGAAGAGGAGGAAGAACAAGAAGAAGAAGAGGTAATATCCCCATACCACATACTACGCTTTTAAAATTTGCTAGAATTAAACTAAATAATAGCATGGATAAATAAAATAGCAGATTCTAGAGAAAATTACATTTTAAATGTTTATTTAATCTGGGGGAAATAGAACAAATATTTCATGTTTTCAAGAACTATCAGATCATAATCTAGAGGCCATCAAGTTTAACCTTCTTGTCAGTATGGAAGTCCTTCCACATCCTGACAGCTACTCTGCTTCATTTCATAGCAACAGAAAGTTATTGGTCACCTACTGTGTGTCAAGCCCTGTGCAAGCTAGAATGAGGAGACCGAGCAATAAAAAACAGGGTAATGTGGAGAGCAAGTAGCCCAGGCAGAGTCCAATTTATGATGTTAACATAATCCCGATTCCAGTATCTAGTAAAGAGATTTTTAGAAAAAAAATCTAAAGCCCAATTTCACATATACATGTTATAATAATCCTAAAGTCAGTACTTGTAAGCCTAATTGCAATAGAACACCAAAAGAATTTCCTACCATGACTTAATGAGGAAAATTTGATGTGAAGAAATCTATTAACAGGTGATGGGCTGGATTTGGCCCAGTGGGCAGGTGGGCCATAGTTTGCCAGTCCCTGCTTTATAGAAATATATCTGTGATTTCTATTATAATTTAATTTATTTATATTTTTAAGGAATTTTATGTATTTTTGTAATTGCTACAATTTATAATTTATTATAAATGTATAAATACTATTTTTATTAGACCTACACTCTGCAAAATCAGATGTTAACTTAAGATGGATACATTGCAAATCATTTGTCCGGTAGAAAAGATAACCCTCAAAGGTTACAATTCTATTGCCCTGTAGGATATTAAACAGCCTGTATCCAACTTTGCAATCTGATTTCAGTGATTATATATACTTCAGCTTTGTCATCCTGTTGGTTTTCTCACTAACAGGCTAAATGAATCTTTGACATTTGTTCTTTAATAATAGCTAGATCTTAAAAGTTCTCATCACAAGAAAAAGAATTAACCGTGTATGGTGATGAATGTTAACCAGACTTATCGTGGTGGTCATTTCCCAATATATACAAATATCAAATCATTATGTTGTACACCTGAAACTAATCTAATATTATGTGTCAATTATATCTCAATTTATAAAACCTATTAATATAAGAGAACTCATTTAAAAACATTAAATAATCTTCCCTGTGCAAATAAGGCATGAGATAATAACCAGCATCTGTCTCTATTTTCTTTTTAAAAAGGAAAACCTCAGGGTGCCTGGGTGGCCCAGTCGGTTAAGTGTCTGACTCCTGGTTTCAGCTCAGGTCATGATCTCAGGGTCATGTGATCGAGCCCCGGGTGGGGCTCCACGCTCAGTGGGGAGTCTGCTTGAGATTCTCTCTCCCTCTCCCTCTGTCCCTCCCGCTTGTGTGCACATGCTTTCTCTCGCTCTAAGATAAATAAATCTTTTTTTTTTTTAAAGGAAAACCTCATAGCAAATGGGAATAAAAGTGTGTCGTTTTAGCATGAATAAAGTATTCTGTCTTAAATCAAAAATGGTAAGATAGAGGAGTCACAGCTCACTTAGTTACAGGGACCATGGTTAGGTCAATTTGTGATGTCAGCCAGGAACATAATCAGGAAGAGTGAGGACTAGTAGGCTAGGACTGCACTGTCCAAGATAGTAGCCATTAGTCCTATGTGACTATTTAAATTAATTAAAATTATATAAAATTTAAAATTTAGTTCCTCAGTAGTACTAGCCACATTTCAAGTGCTCATGACCAAATATGGCTGTGTCTTCCAAACTGGACAACACAGATACACAACATTTCCATCACTGCTGAAAGTTCCACTGGACAGCTAGTGGGTGCCTGCCCTTCTTCAGAAGACAGCTGCCTCTCAGCTCCAGCCCAGCCAACTCTTGCCATGTGGGAATGCTAGCCTATTTTTACCAGGTAGTCTGATTTTTCCAAAGAAGCCAAAATCAGCATTTTAAAATATAAGTAGTTGGCAACTAATCCAAAATTTTAAAAACACAGTGTAGGCCAATGCTATGGGATATAATCAAATTAATGTCTTCAGACTGAATTCAGCCCCACGGGGCTCTGGTGTCTACCTAGTAGCGCAGCCATGTTCAGAAGCCAGACCTGTGAACATGTCACCCACTTGGGTTGATGGCCAATAATTTCATGAAACTGTTCATCCTTATATACACACAAATGTTAATCTCCCTGAACTGCTATAATACCTTTGTATATGTTCTCTTGGCTTCCACTTTCCTCTCCATCCCCATTCCATTCTTTACAAAAGCCAGAGCCTTGTTTTAAAAATATGACCCTTAGTGACTTTCTATTACGTGTAGATGAAAGTTCAAACACCCTCGTATGGTTTACAAGGCCATGGACCTGGTCTCACTATCTCATCCCTGGCTGTCTCGCTTTTCTTGCTCACTGTATTCCAGCTACTCCACTGGCCTTCCAGCTAGTCCTCAACTATGCTGGACGCAATCTACCTCCAGCCTTTGCACTTACTATTTCCTCTGTGCTCTGCCTACCACACTTTCTCCCAGATCTTCATGTGCCTACATCCTTCTTCTTGCCTATGTCCCACCCCAGGGATGACATCCTCAGAGGCCCAATTGACTCTGTAACCCAGCACTGTGGTAGAAATATACTCCTGCCATGTGTAATTTTAAATGTGTTAATAGCTACTTTTTTAAACAGCAAAAAGAAACAGGTGAAAATAATTTTAATAATATATTTTATTTAATACAATATATCCAAAATATTATGTCAGCATATAATGAACATAAAAATTCTGAGATACATCTTTTTTTCATGCTAAGCTTTTGAAATTTGGTGTGTACTTTCCACTTACAGTACGTTCCAATTCACACTTGCCACATTTCAAGTGCTCAGTAGGTCTGTGTGGGTAGCAACTATTGTGCTGGACAGCAAAGGTCCAACCCCTTTACCCTGCTTTATTTTCCTCATAGCACTTACCACTTTCTGAAATTATGTTATTTGTTTACTTGCTTATTATCTATCTACCCCCTGAATATAAGCTCTGTGAAGCAAGTACCTTATCCCCTGTGCCTGTAACAGTGCTTGGCATACAGTAGGTGCCTAATAAGAAGCTGTGTCTTGACTGAACACATGAGGATATGCCAGTGAAGCCCTCTGCTGGAGAGAGAAGAATGATAGCATCTTTTGAAAAAGATAGTATATATTAAGCCATTTTGAAATGTGTAATCTTTGGTCCAGTAATTCTACTTTTAGGAACTAGTCTAAGGGAGAATATTAGCAGTGTAAAGATTTATCTACAAAGCTATTCAGTGAAACATTATTTATAATTGTGAAACATTTGAAACAGTCTTCATCAACTATAGAATAATGATTAAATAGTAATGTTTTTAGGGCGCCTGGGTGGCTCAGTTGGTTAAGCGACTGCCTTCGGCTCAGGTCGTGATCCCAGAGTCTTGGGATCGAGTCCCACATCAGGCTCCCGGCTCAGTGGGGAGCCTGCTTCTCTGACCCTCTCTGCTCTCATGCTGTTTCTCTCTGCCTCTCTCATAAATAAATAAATAAAATCTTAAAAAAAATAGTAATGTTTTTAGGGATATTAATATATTATTTGACCATTAAAATAGTATTTAAAACATTCCAAAAAATTTATAAAGTGGCTTACTTAATAGATAATATGATTCAAATAGTATAAAATGTGGATTTATGTGCATTGATAAAGACTAGAATTAATAATTAGATAATAAATTATAATAATAATAGGATAAATATGATCTTGAATACCAACCAACTCACCAACTCAGCCTTGGGCTGAGAACCTTTACATGTAGTATTCCCTCTGCCCTCAAATGTCACTTCCTCAGAGAACCCTTTCATGACCACCTGATATAAAATAGCACTCTTAGCCATCACTCCTCATCTCCTCTACCCTGCATTTTTTTCCTAGTACTTACCACCACCCAACATGTTATATATTTACTTGTCTACTTGTTTCTGCTCTGTCTTCCCCAACTGGAATGTGTGCTCCATGAGGCCCAGGGTCTTAGTTGATTTTGTTCACTAGTTTATCTCAAACTCCTACAACAGTCCCTGGCACTCACCAATCTTGAATGAATGAATGAATGAATGAATGAATGAATGAATGAATTACAAGCTCAGGTATTCAGAGTAAATCTAATTTCTTGATTCTGTCTCTAAAAATCAGATATTCTTCCCCTACTCTTCCCTACTTATTGAGGAGGAAAAAAAATTAAGAAGTATCCAAGTTAACTTAAAGTTTTATTCCATCTGATAAAGGCCCCTTAGGGTTTTGAGTGTCTCTAAAATAAAAATCCTCAGTCTCCCTTCTACCTGCTTCTCATTCCAAAAAGGCATGTAGTTATAAGGAGGGAGAGATGTGGCTTGTTAATTAAGTAATCATTAACATAAAGATTTTGAAAATCTCTTCTTTTCCATTTAGGCATTTATTGCAGAAATGCAGATGGTGGCTGAAATTCTTCAACATGTAGTTCAGAGACCTGAGGATTATTTGGAAAATATTGACAACATTGTTAAACTTTATAAGGAAATAATTCTTCGTCCTTTAGAAGTAAGAACAAGATATAGTGATAAAAATAGAAATATTGATATTTATGTTCTCTCACTGGTTAAATAGCTTTCACATTTTTTCATCCCTCTGTATTATCTGATTCTCCACCACTTAAGTTTGATAGAATGCTGTTAGAATAAGGCTTCCATTCCAAAGGCTGTTTCACAGAACAATATCAATTGACTCTTAAAAAAGCAGCAATATTGTTGAAAAGTGATAAATGAACTGCATTTTTCAAAAGTCACTAGGGGAATTTATTTATGGTTGGAGGTTGAAAAACCCATGTTAAGAGACTATTTTGTAAAAACATTTTCAATCCATAATTTATGGGTTTATCAAAATAAATGTGCATTTAAGATGCATCTTTCATTCTAAAAGGAATTGTAATTTATTTAAATTGCAATTATCCCCAGATTGGTTTCTGTGGTTATCCCATTCAAAGTTGATTATATGTAAACATGATTAAGTCCATTACATATTGAAATAGGAAGGTTTTAATTAAAATAATTAGCATTTAAAAATATGATTACTAAAGTTACAATTATGTGAAAAGCATTTTTATACGGTCAAAAGTCCAGGGCAGACACTGCCAAATTTGTGTTGGAGATTTATTCAACAAACATTTATCAAACTTGGGTATTTGTCCACTACACCATGCTGAACAATGGAACTACAAAGACAAAAAACAGTCCTCAAGTTGCCTCTTCCCATCTGATAGAGAAACTAAAAGGATTTGTTTCATGCTCTCTTATAAGGCTTATATATTTTTATAGACAAATGAGTGGATCATTTTCATTCTCATTGTCCACCCACAAAAGGGGAACCAAATTTAATTTCTTTCTTATGTATGACTTTTATTCCTCCCTACCTCCTCTTCTATTCCTGGCCTTTAAACATAGCTTCTTAAGAGTACTTTGCATGTCTATCTATAATGTTCTTTCTTCCTTCAAACAGAAATATCCTGCAAACTCCTTAAATGGCTGGCACTGAGGTTGAAATAAAGCATGATTAAAATAAGGTTCAGAAAATTAGGAAACTATATTCACAGGCATGAGATAGTCTAAGGATAAGGACCAGGTCTCCCATCCTGGAAGCCAAAAACCTACATGACACTTGCTGAATAGTAAGATAATTGCCTTTTATGGTAATTCCAGGGTACTGGTGTGTGTAGAGGAAGGGGGAGGAAAGCCATAAAAGGTTAGGAGCCTGCAATTCTAGTCTCCTCTGACCTGGCTGAGATGTCAATTCACTTAGGAGGCCAAATCACCAACAGTCAGTGCTCCTCAAAAAGACATGAGAAAAGCAAATAGAAGCATCATTTTCTGGTTTATAGTCTGTTTCAGGAGTAATCCAAGGCCAAGTTCTCATTCCTATCTGCCTTGGAATCCCAGCTTGACTTGTCGTCTGATTTGGTGTATATATTTTTAGTCTTAGGAATGTTTATACCCTTTGACTTAATAAGTACACTCTTAAGATTCTAGCTTAAGAAAAGAATCTGAATATAGAAAAGCAGTATGTACTTTCTTGTTCAGAACGTGGCTATTTATGTTTAAATAAATAATACTGGCATAATGTACCATCTAAAAGAAAAAGAAGCACTTAGAATCCAACCTCACATAATATTGTGAAAAACAAAATGCCCTGGACAGTTAAGGAGATGATTTTGTTCAAACTATTGTAATAGGGAGAACATTAGCTAATAGGGAAAACATTAACATTAACTAATTTCGTTTCTCAAGGAAAAGGAGTGGGACCTAGGGGTTTTATGGAGGCAGGTAAATAAGGGAGATATCCTCAAGTCTTAGGGAATGATGGAGAAGGATGAAGACAGATCTTATCTGAATCCTTGAGGAAGGGTAGAGATGGGTCTTATCTCTCAATCCTCCCTACTTTCTGGGAATACAGGGCTCAAATAGAGTTCAACATTGTCAATGTACAAAAACGAAATCGGGTGGATTTTAGATTTTAATATTAAAAACAATAGTGGAAGAAAATTTAGAACAACATTAATATAATCTTGAGATAGAGAAAATCTAATTTAAGCAAGAAAGGCAATCCAGAAACAATGAAAGCATATAATTTATTATAAAAATGTTTTCTATTGTGGAAGATTCCATAAACAAAGTCAAAAAGATAAATCCTTTTTATCGTTAATGGTAAAATACTGGTAATTGATATGGGTTAAAGACTTTCCATGAGTGTTAGGGCAAAGAAACAAACTGATAAAAAAAACTGCACAGATGTTATGGTTAAATGGTGTACAGAGATAGATATCTAAATATTGAACTTCACCCATAGCTAGGGGAATAAAATGTAAAACAAACCAATTTCATTTTCAATTATCAGATTGGTAGAAATTATTCTATGAATATATGCAGAGAGATAGATGCCCCCAGACATTTTCTATTTGGAAGGACTCTAAAACATCAATGTAAAGAAAAACTGAAAAGAAAAAAATCAGAAAGAGAATAAAATTCATGATAAGACTAATTTAGTCTTTTGCAAAAGAGCACTTAAAATAATATACCTTATATCATGTATAAAGCAAACAACTTAGTTTTAAAGATTTCTTCATAGTATGTTAAGATTCTGATCTTGTGTTCAGTTTTGCCAGTGATCCTGGATTATAAGGTTTCTATTTTCTGCAGGAAGTAATGGCTGAACACAATTCCCAGTATCTCATTGAGCTAGATGGAAATAAACCCCCAGAGGAGCTCTTCATGGTAAGTGCAATGTTCATAAGAATATCCCAAGGTTTGGAAAATCAAAAAGTTACTGACTGGATTGTACTGATTTTAATAAACATCAAAAATATATTTACATTTTAACACCACTTACTTTTGGAAAATTCCTCTTGACCCTTAAAAATATGATGTTATACCTGTTCCTCTGTCCATATTTAAATCAAAACTACATTTGAATTTAAAATCTCTGTGTAGCAAAAAGTGCCTTAAAGAAAAGTAAAAGCAAATAATGGCCAATAAGCACATGATAAGATGCCTACCGTGAGTCATTAGGGAAATGCAAACAAAAACCATAATGAGTTATCACTTCACACCCGCTAAGATGGCTAAAAATCAAAAACAAACAAACAAAAACCACACAATAGCAAGTGTTTGTGAGGATGTGGAAAAATTGGAGCTCTCATATGTTGCTGGTGGGATTGTAAAATGGTGTGGCTGCTTTGGAAAATAGTTTGGTAGATCCTCATAAGTTAAACATGGATTGTAAAATGGTGTGGCTGCTTTGGAAAATAGTTTGGTAGATCCTCATAAGTTAAACATGGAATTACCACACAACTCAGCAATCAACTTCTTAGTATATATACCCAAAATAATTGAAAACAGGTGTTCAAATGAAAACATACATGAAGATTCATGGCAGCACTATCAATAGCCAAAAGGTAGAAATAAGCCAAATGTCCATATACTGATGAATGGAAAAGTAAAATGTGGTGTATCTATACATTGGAACATCATTCAGCAATAAAACAGAATGAAGCTTTGATACATGCTACAACATAGATGAATCTTGAACACATACTAAGTAAAAGAAAAGTTACTAAATATCCCATATCATATGATTCCATTTATATAAAATATCCAAAATAGGCAGACCTATCAAAATGGAAAATAGACTAGTGGTTGCCTGGGGTGAGGGTTACCACAATGGGAGATCTCAGGATTAACTTGGAGTGACTACTAATGGGTAAATGGTTTCTTTTTGGGGCAATGAAACTGTTCTAAGTTTCATTGTGGTGATAGTTGTGCAAATCTATACTAAAAACCACTGAACTATATACTTTAAATGGGTGAATTATATGTGAATTGTTTCTCAGTGAAGCTGATTTTTTAATAAAGAATATACTCCATGCTTCTGTAGTCCATTCTACCTCACCAGACACTCTACATCTCTCATCTCTAGAGTTGGAGAATCCCACGGCTCACTCCTTGTGCACTCTTCTCTCTCTGCCCTACTAAATGCTGGTAACTCTTAAATTCATGTTACTATCCCAGACCTTTCCCCTGAATTCCACGCCTATATAATCAACTGCTACTCAGTGTATACAATTGGATGACTGGTAATTATCTCAGATTTAAGTGTGCAAGAAAAACCCTCTGATCCACTGTCACCACCACCCGCCCCAGATATGCTCTTCCCACAGTTTTCCCCTCTTGCTAAGTGTCGAATCCCCTCTTCAAGCTGCTCTTCTCTTTTTCTCACATCCCACATCCAAGCAGGCTTTTCCTTCAAAATATATCCAGAATTTGGATTTTACAATACAAGACACACTTTTCTCAAGGTAGAGGGCAGAAGCTCCTATAGGCCTGGCTGAAACTTGCCAAGCCTTGCCAGGCCTCATTTGCCAGTGGCACCCTGGCCTTTCTGCCCATTCCATTGGCCAAAACAAGTTACATGGAGAAGTTCAATACCAGTGGGATAGGGAAGTGTATTCTACCCACAGTGAGCTAGGGAATTAACAAGTGAAGAGAGGGAAGGATAAATTATGAACAAATAATACAATCTACCACAGATGACCATTCTCCATCAGAACTTTGTCGATCCACCATCTCTCACCTCAGAGTCAATGTTTCATATCCTTCTGCAAGGTGTCCCTGTTAGTTTCTAATTCTGACATAGCAAAGTACCACAAATTAGGTGGTTTAAAATGATAGAAACTTATTTTCTTATAGTTCTGGAGGCTAAATATAAAAAATCCAGGTGTTGGCAGGGCCCTGCTCCCTCCAAAGCCTCTAGAGGATGATCCAACATTGCCTCTTCCAGCTTCTGGTGGTCCCAAGCATCTCTTGGATCATAGCAGCATAACTCTGATCTCTGCCTCCATCTTGACATGGCTGTATTCCCTCTGCCAGAACAGGTCCCACTGAGCTAGACCTCTAAGGACATGAATATTTGGGGACCAGAGGGCAGACTTTATGGGTTGAATTGTGTTCCCCCAGAAGATATGTTGAGGTCCTAACTCCCAATACCTATGAATGTGACCTTATTTGGAAATAGGATCTTTTCAGATATAAACAAGTTAAGGTGAGTTCATACTGCATTAGTCTGGGCCCTCACCTAATATGGCGGGTATCCTTATAAGAGAAGAGACGCAGACACATAGGGAGAAGATGCCTATGTGACAACAAAGGCAGAGATTGGAGTGATACATCTACAAGCCAGGGAACACCAAAGATTGCCAGCAAACCACCGGGAGGTAGAGGCAAGGAAGTGTTCTACACATAAGCTCATCACTGTTTTAGAATATTTGAGATGTTCAAATGTCAACGTATTTAAATATTTGTTCTTTAACAAATTTAGACGGTTATGGACCGACTTAAATATCTGAACCTAAAAAGAGCAGCTGTTTTGACTAAACTTCAGAGTGCAGAGGAAGAAATTACTGACATAATGGAAAATGTAAGTTATTTTTAACTGTTGGAAAGTCTATCTTTTCACTACATGTTGTGACCTTAATTTAATGTATCCTTTCAAAGTATAAAAGGAGCTTCAGGATACCTTTCATAAAAATGGATTTGATTTTTAGGGAGAAGCTATAATATCAGCACAATATTTTTGTGAACACTAAAGAAAAGTTTTGAAACAAAGACAATAAAATCAGAACAATTTACCACAAGAATAATAAGAAAGAAACCCAAGTTCATTTTTAAAATTTTGTAACACCAAAGGAAGCAAAGACATAACAGCCCTCAACTCTAGAAGCACTTGTTAATTCCTTCAATCATTCAACCCATTTTTTTAATAACTACTATGTTCCTGACACTGATGTATTATGGATGTGACAGTGATCAAATTATAATTGCTAAGTGCTAAATAAGCTCTCAGGCCTTTTTTTTTTTTAATAAGATGTTATTTATTTTAGAGAGAGAGAGTGAGAGAATGAGCATGAGTGGGGGCGGGGCAGGGGAGGAGAATCTTCAAGCAGACTCCCTGCTGAGCGCAGAGCCCAGCACAGGACTCCATCCCACGACCCATGAGATCCTGCCCTGAGCTGAAACCAAGAGTCAGATGCCCACCTGACTGATCCACTCAGGCCCCCCATTCTCAGGCCTTTAATTGGAGGATTTGATCCACTCTGAGAAGTTTAGTTTCATCTATACGAATAGAAATTGAAAATCAAATACTAGAATCATAAATAGATATCATAATTCAGGTAAAATAATCTTTGAAGGAAGAAGTTATTTTGTGATCCTGTACCATGTCATCACTAGATCTTAAGCACAGCTGCAATATGTACTGGGACTTTAGTTATCTAGTGCTAAAGAGGAAGAAAGGTGAGCCTGATCAGAGAGTCTGTGTGCTGAACCTCCTCTTCCAGGTCATCATCGAAGGAAAAATTTAAAGTATCCATAAAACCTGGGGGAATTTCCCAGATAGAAATTTTGTCCTTAGAAATTATTGGATGTGGGGTGCCTGGTGACTCAGTCAGTAGAGCATGTGACTCTTGATCTCAGGGTTGTGAGTTTAAGCCCCACACAGGGCACGGAGCCTACTTAAAAAAAAATTGTTGTATGCGTAGGCCTAAGGTTATAGTTCATAAGATATATGACTGAAGATGCCTGCCCTGTTTTTCATGAAAGGGCAGAAGTTATGACTGCGTATACTGGGGTCATTATTCATATCCCTTAAGCAGTATTTCTCCCTGACAGCTCAATTCATCTCCAAAAGAATCACCTAGGAAGCTTCCTACAAATACCAATTCCTTAGACTCAGATTCCAGATCGATTGAACTAGAATGTCTGGAGGTGGGGGGCGCCTGGGTGGCTCAGATGGTTAAGCATCTGCCTTCAGCTCGGGTCATGGTCCTGGGGTCCTGGGATCGAGCCCTGCATTGGGCTCCCTGCTCAGTGGGAAGCCTGCTTCTCCCTCTCCCACTCTCCCTGCTTGTGTTCCCTCTCTCACTGTGTATCTCTCTGTCAAATAAATAAATAAAATCTTTAAAAAAAAATAGAATGTCTGGAGGTGGGACCTAGAAATGTATTTTTACAAGATCCATAGAGAATTCCTATACCCACTTAAGTTTAAGAACCCCTACTTTAAGTTTGGGACACTGAGGGTTGCCTGGGTGGCTCAGTCGGTTAAGCCTCTGCCTTCTGCTCGAGTCATGATTTCCAGGTTCTGCGATCAAGCCCCACATTGGGCTCCCTGCTCAGTGGGAAGCCTCCTTCTCCCTCTCCCTCTCCCTCTGCCCTTCCCCCACCCCCCACCACACACACACTTGTGCTTTCTCTCTCTCTCTCATAAATAAATAAAATCTTTAAAAATAAATAAATAAATTTTGGGACACTGAGGGAGCCTGATTGATCAAGGTTGATTAAACTTGAAGCTCCTATATTTCAGAAAACTTTAAAAGGATACCCTTCAGCTAAAGGTAGGTGATTTTTAGAAAACCAATGTAAAGGGAATGTATAAAGGAATGATTCCTAGCCCTGACAGCCCAGTGGTATCATCTAGGAAGCTCTTTAAATATATTAATGCCCAGACCAATTAAAACAGAATCTGGGATAGGACTCTGGCATTAATTAAAACAGGGTATCAAGTCATACCAAAGGTACAGGCAAAAATAAAATAGATGAATTGGACTTCACCAAAATAAAAAATATTTGTTCATCAAAGGACACTATCAACGGAGTGAAAAGATAGCCCACAGAATGGGAGTGGATATTTGTGAATCATATATCGGATGAGGGATTAATATCCAGAACATATAAAGAACTCCTACAACTCAACAATAATAAAACAACCCAATTCAAAAATGCACAAAGACCTAAATAGACATTTCTCCAAAGATTTACAAATGGCTAATAAACACATGGAAAGATATTTAACGTAACTAGTTATTAGGAAAATGCAAATCTAAACTATAATGAAATACTACTTTATAACCATTAGGATGGCTGTTATCCAAAAAACAGAAAATAAGTGTTGTCAAGATGGAGAAAAATTAGAATGTTTGTGCATTGTTGATGGGAATGTAAAATGTTGTAACACTATGTGAAACAGTTTGGTGGGTCCTCAAAATGTTAAATACAGACTTACCATACGATCTAGCAATTCCACTCCTAGGTATATACCCAAACAAACTGAAAGCAGGGACTCAAACAGATACTTGTACACCGATGTTCATAGCCACTTTATTCACAATAGTCAGAAGGTAAAATTAACCCAAATGTCCATCAAAGGATGAATGGATAACAGTGATATATATACACACACACACACACACACATATACGTACATACCTACACACGCGTGAGCACACACACACACACTGAAATGTTATTCAGCCTTAAAAAGGAATGAAATTCTGACACATGCTAAAGTGTGGATGAAACTTGGAAACATGCCAAGTGATGCAAGCCAGACACAAAAGACAAATATGATTCTACTTATATGAGGAAGAGTGGAATGGGGCGTTATTGTTTAATGGGTGCAGAGCTTCTGTTTGGGTTAATGAAAAAGTTCTGGAAATGGATAGTGGTGATGGTCACAACATTGTCAGTGTACTTCATGCCACTGAATTGTACACTTAAAGATATTTAAAATGGTAAAGTTCATGTTATATATATTGTACCATAATTAAAAAAACAAAACCCCAAAACCTCCTTGCAGATTCTACTGTGCAACCAGGGATGGGGACCACTGGTTTAAAGGGATGAAGAGACACAAAGGTGTCATTGTGAGCTCAAACTCCCTGGTGAAGAGTGTGAGACCTGTAACATCTGATGAGCTGTTGGAGAGGAGGCGGATGTGTGGGAGGGGAGGTGGGCGGGGATGGGGGGTGGTGGTGGGAGGAAGGACAGTGTCAGGCTGGCACCCAGCACAGTAGATGGTAACAGCATTGATTTTTGAATCAGACAGATCTAGATTTGAATTCCAGATCTAAAGCTTACCAGATCTGTGACTTTGCTTAACCCTACCCTTTATTCAGTCATTAAAAAAGGGATGATAGGGGCGCCTGGGTGGCTCAGTAGGCTGAGCATCTGCCTTCGGCTCAGGTCATGATTCTGGGGTCCTGGAATGAAGCCCCGCATCGGGCTCCTTGCTTGCCCAGAAGCCTGCTTCTCCCTCTGCCTGCCGCTCTCCCTCCTTGTGCTCTCTCTCTCTCTCTGACAAATAAATAAAATCTTTTTAAAAATATTTTTTTAAAAAAAGGGATGATAAGCCCTACCACATAGTGTTATTATAAGGATTATATGAGCTGATGCTTGCGAAGTTCCCAGAACCAATGGTAATATTCAGAATATCAGAGAGCTGTATTGCAGGGCAAGGCTGGCTTCATGGGCTAGCAACCCATGCAGCCACGCAGGACCCCATCCTTAGCAGAGGCCCACGGTTTGCTTAATGAAATTCTTTATAACTTTAGAACAAGGGTCCTGCATTGCTGTTTTGTGCTGGGCCTGGTGACTTAGCTGACGGAGCGCAGGGACTCCCACCCAACCGCAACAGCGCTGGCAGTGGAGCTGAGAATCTCTGCTGTGCTGGGCATTAACTCTCTAGTTACTGGATCATGGAAGGGTCCAGAAGTTCTTCAGCAAGAGGCTCAAGTGGAAGGAGAGCTTGAGTGTACTGGCTGTAGCTGCCAGCTCTGACCTGCCTGGCTGTGTCCGAGGGCCCTCTCACACGATCCTCGGGGTCAGTCTCTCAGTCTCTCCGGAAGGGGAGCCTCCAGTCTTCTGATGAAAGGAGAAGTGGTGGCAAGATTGAGGGAAAGTTGGCTGACTGAGTGAAATGGGGAGTAGCTCTGGCCCCTAGCACGTCGTTTTCAAGATTTTCAACCAATCCCCCTGTCTTTTGCTCTCTGTCACCCCCTCCAGAGGTACCTGATGTCAACAGGTCCTGAATCCCTCTAGGATTTTGCAGAGTGAACCAACTTGTTTCGTGTCCCCAGCCCATCTCACACCCATCCCTGCCATCACACTGAGCCCTCACTTTTCTCCAATTTAAGTCCGTTTCCACCATCCATCTGCTTTCTAGCTTATGAAAATGTGTAGCCGTGCTGATCAGCTGTCAACTCATCTGGTGTCCCCTCCCATCCTGTGTTCTTGTGAGTTCATTCCTTTTTGCATTCTCTACTATCAATTCTGTGAAGTTTTAGGAAAGCAGCAAATACAAATACATATGTTCAGTCAGCCTTGTTTAACCAGAGGCAGTCCCGAGCATTTTCAGACTAATATCAAACTCACTGGAAAGCTCATTTTTTTCATTGCCCCTCAGCATCTACTAGACATGTGGCCTCAGGACTTGAGGTTGAGAGAGGAGCATGGTGTGCTATTTAAACACGTTTCCTTTGAGAGAATACCCACTGTCTGCTAGTCAAACACTTTTCCCGAGTTTGGACAAGAAATAAGGTTAAGGAAACAGTGACTGCCTCCTGTTTTAACTAGATACATTTCAGTCCCTAGTTCATTTTAGACTCCATGGAGAAGGGTGGTAGCCCAGTGTGGCCCACTGATGAGCTCCTCTGTCTCATGCACCTCCCCTAAGCATCGACAGTTTCCCTAACATTTAGCTACTTCTTCCAGCCTTCAGTTCGGACATTCATGCAGCATCCCTGCAGCGTGCATGCCTCTTTGCTCTCTGATGCAACAGTGGTCCAGGCAAGACCATAGCTCCCATTTTCATCTTTCCTCCACAGTTAGCTCTGGAGCCAGCAGATACATGTGAGATTTACGTCTGAAGGTTGGAGAGAGCTAACCTGGACCCTTTTCCCCCAGCAGTAGCCCACCATGCCCCCTCTCCCCAATTCTCTCGTCCCCTGCAAACTGCAGTCTCGAGAAGTGGCTCTTAACTTCTCTGGAGGTCACCAACAGAATTGCTGAGGGAGACTTTATATTTTAAGAACAACAGAAGAGCTAAGTAAATGCAAAAAAAAAAGCCATCTGTATATCATCATACTATTTAAAAACTTAGTTAAATTGGCTAAGAATCTGGTACATTTTCAAACCTTTTCTTTTTTTCTTTTAGAGAGAGCATGCATGAGCATGCAAGTGGGGGTGGAGGCAGAGGAAGGAGAGAGAGAATCTTAAGCAGGCTCCATGCCCAGCATGGAGCCGGATGCAGGGCTCCATCTCACGACCCTAAGATCATGACCTGAGCTGAAATCAAGAGTCAGACACTTAACCGACTGAGCCACCCAGGTACCCCAAACCTTTTCAATAAGAATTTTTCCAAATCAGATAATAAAAAACACTCTATCTACCTTATGTTCATTCTACCTTATAATAGAAAATGCTTGATAAAATTTAAAACAAGGTCTTGGGGAGCCTGGGTGGCTCAGTCATTAAGCGTCTGCCTTCGGCTCAGGTCATGATCTCAGGGTCCTGGGATCAAGCCCTGCATCGGGCTCCCTGCTGAGCAGGGAGTCTGCTTCTCCTTCTGCCCTTCTCCCCACTCTCTCTCATGAGAACTCTCTCTCAAATAAATAAATAAATTTTTAAAAAATAGTCTATTCCAAAAAAAGAAAGAAAGCAAGCAACTAAGCAAGGGCCTCATAAACCCAAATCAGGAGCACGGTTACCACATCTTCTCCTTCTCCACTCCCCCTGCTTGTGCTCCTGCTCTTGCTATCTCTCTCTCTCTCTCTCTCTCTGTCAAATAAATAAAATCTTTAAAAAAATAAATAAATAATTTATTTCTTTTAATTTGTTATTAACATATGATATGTTATTCGTTTCAGGGGTACAGGTCAGTGATTCATCAGTCTTACACAATTGACAGTGCTCACCATAGTACCTATGCTCCCCATTGTCCATCACCCAGCCACCCCATCCCTCCCACTCCCCACAACTCCAGCAACCCTCAGTTTGTTTCCTGAGATTAAGAGTCTCTTATGGTTTGTCTCCCTCTCCAATTTCATCTTGTTTCGTTTTTCCCTCCCTTCCCCTATGATCCTCTGTCTTGTTTCTCAAATTCCTCATATCAGTGAGATGATATGATACATGTCTTTCTGATTGACTTATTTCGCTTAACATAATACCCTCTAGTTCCATCCATGTCGGTGCAAATGGAAAGATTTCAGTTTTTTGGATGGCTGCATAATATTCCATTGTATATATATATACCACATCTTCTTTATCCATTCATCTGTTGATGGACATCTTGGCTCTTTCCATAGTTTGGCTATTGTGGACATTGCTGCTATAA